AATTCTGCTTCATATTTAAACAAAAAAAAGTTTTCTAACAACGGGGCTGTCAATGATATCAAAAGTCTAGATTTTAATTTATCGAATGGTTGTATAATGCATACGTACACTCCTTATTATACCCTCCGCTTTCATATCCCCGCTTGAAATGCAAAGGGACATGCATATAGTGATGAGGATGTCCGTTCTTCCATCCGTTATGCTTTTAGGGTACCCATCTCTTATCCCCAAACCCTCTTATACATGTACAACAGGATGAAATTTAATGTGACTTCCACAGAATCTTAGTTACACGGTGTCACTGTGAACCATATCGGGTTTACCAAAGCAAAACATAGACACTGCCATCCCTTCTATAATATTGAGGGGTACGCATCTCTTATCTGCAACTCCTCCTAAAACGCTGAATAAATTTAATGATACTTTCACAGATTCTTCATTACATACTTGCCATTGTGTACCTCCTGTTTTACTTTTTAATCTGACGCTTATTTCGGGTCTCCTATAGCAAAACATGGACTTCACATCGCCATTATAAATCATACGAGAGGCTGTGGTATATTATTTTGTGATCTCAATGCTCACAGTATACCAAGTGTTCATTGTTATATTGTTTGCTTAAGAATTACCCTACAAAACTCTCAATTCAACTCTCCTTGAACCTAAGCAAGAAGCGAACACGTCTTTTAATTAAATTCTTGAAACTCTGTAAAACCTTGATTAATTCTTAACTATCTGTATCGCCCTTTTTGGAGCTGGTAGGCTATGTGGTATTGTCATGTTGGAGACAAGGATGTCTCCGGCAGTAGAGTCCTCCGTCTCCAGAGGCCGTAGCCTCAGTTCCGCCTGTAATTGACAACAGAATTTATTTGTTTTGGCGACACTTGTAACCTACAGTGTTTATTGAGTCGATGATTTAGCCTTTAAGTGAGGGGTTATAAATTCAAGTACAGATTGAACATTTATTGGTATGTAGGCGTACATGGTATCAATAAAGAGTGCAATTATCAACGAGTTACCATATGCATTGTATGCTATATCTTTTAGATGCTTTTTTTTACTCTCAGGCCATACAGTTGATTATGAGGTACATAAACCACAGGCATTTGTTTCGGTAATAATTTTTTCTTCAATTCGACTTTTAGATATATCGACGACGTACATGTATTGTCAATTAGCATTAATTAGTAAATTCCATTCTTATGTCGATTCAATGTATCCTGGTGAGCTTAAGATAAGAGATACCATAGAGTCTGATACATTTGTTTCATATTTGGATATTTTACTTGAAAAATATGTTAATAGCAATCTAACAACCAAGATTTATGATAAACGTAATGACTTTAACTTTTTTATCGTCAACTTCCCTTACTTATGCAGCAATATACCTTCATCACCTGCATACGGAGCTTATATATCTCAGTTGATTCGATACGCAAGAGTATGCTCTACGTACGAACAATTTCTAAAACGAGGTAAATTATTGACAAACAAGTTGATGAAACAAGAATTTCAGCAGTCTCGTTTAAAGTTATCATTTCGTAAGTTCTATGGTCGATACAATGACCTTGACAGCGGATACAATTTTTCATTGAGTCAAATGCTGACTGACGATTTTCACACCATTCGTTAGTCCATTATTTATACACTGAATTGACGACGGATTTTTTCCGTTATTACCCGATCATGACAAGGAGCACATGGCGGGTGATGCTCATTCCTCCATGGCACCTGATCCCATCTCCGATGATTTGGAGGTTCGTGTTTGCTCTGCTCCTATTTAGTATTGTTTCATGGACCTTCGATCTGGAATACTGTTCGTTATCTCCATATGTTTCATTCCATAGTACAATAATAGCACTATTTATTATTATTATACTAATGACTTAAAAATTTATTGTCGAAACAAGTGTCTGTGACACGAACGTATTTTGAAATAATATAAAAATGCATTGTCTATTGTGTGGAATGGTAGGGCATTCTCGTCCAAGCCGTTCTGTAATATAAACATTTAGATTAAAGTCAGTATTGTAAAAATTGATTTCACAATGTTTCTTCATCAGTAAATTCTAACTATACAAAAACTTTCATATGCACATGAGTTCAAAATATCTCTTACACATTTCAACCAAAGATGCATAAATGAATCTTCAGAAAATGCGATACGTCACTTCGAAACAATATTATACCTCAATAGTTTTTATCACAAATTTCAACTGCAAAATTTGCTTTGGGACTTCCAAGTCTTGTCTAGATATATACATATGTATTTTTAATTGACCACAATAAGAGAAAAAATATTCAGTGATCTTGATTGTCAGACGTGATATAAAACTAACATCAGCATTACCAGTATATAAAAACGAAGTATCAATCGTATTCTGGATTTCAACCAATTCCTGAACACTCCCTTTCAATACCCTTACAAAAGTAAAATTATTGCAGCAATATTGCTGCTATATTGCGGCAACATTGCAGCAACACATTTTTGTCACCAGAAACAAGCTTTTTGGGTTAGTGAAATATCACCGCTAGCGGCAACAACTTCTGGTGACATTCTGGCAATACTGCCAGAAAAAAAAACTTTCTGGCAATATTGCCAGAATGTCGCCAGAAGATCTAGGATTACCCATTAGGCATTTGTGAACATGCTCAGTCATTTTCTTCCTCTTTTTGCTAGCGCTCTCGAGCGCTAGCAACTACGTTAGTCCAAAGTCCCTGAATACGCATGCTCGGCTTCATGGTGGTGCATTCTGGGAATACTGTGAAAACTACTATAGATAGACCGTACAATAACAATTTCGTTGTATCATTAAATAATTATGTTTATTTATTGTGTAGCTTACATTTTAAAGATAATTATGCAATTATTATAAAAGACGACTCAAAGGACCAAGCTACTTCACAACTTCACATTCGGAACTCTCTGGATTTCTTTTAAAAACATACACTTTGAGTTATTTCTATATACCTTTTAAGTCCCCTGTATTTTCTTTGCTACATTGCCACGAAATTTCACCTTAAAACAGTTCATACAATGCCTCAATCGGCATCTTCACCATATTTTATAGATCCCTCTCTCTCTCCAGCAAAGGTCATAAATGTTCCGTTGCGCCAAAACTCCAATAGGTAAACACCCCCCCCCCCTCCCTCGTTTCTTTACCTATAAAGTCCTATATGTGTATAAAATAAAAAACTCTGTTTTCATGGTATATATATCAGACTTGGTAAGTCTAAACCATATTCTTTTTTAGATGAATGATTCTATGGAGATAAAATAGGAAAAATTATATGTATTTCAACTGGTGCTTGTGATGCATGTGTACTATACTTGTATGTCTAATATATATCATACCATTGTGGAAAAGATGAATGCATGTTATCAATTAATTAATGCATGAACATATATAATTAATTTATTCATAAATTTGAATACCTGCAAGAAAATAATGATATGTTGGAAATTACAAACAAGCTATATAATAGTATATATTATACATTAATTATACTGATTGGCATTGGGGAATATGTGATGGGCAGCTAATTAAGGTTATTTGAAAAATAATGCAGTGTTGCTGGACATTTTCACAGTGGCATATTAATATTTTTCATATACACATTTTTTATGTGCCCGGATTGATAGATTGGGGGCGCATATTGTTTTTGTCCTGTCTGTTTGTAAACTTTAACCTTTGCCATAAGCGATAACTTTTGAACCAAATTGAGAGATAGGACTTCATATTTGGTATGCATACTCCACTTATTAAGTCCATTCAAATGACACCAAGGTCAATGACCTTGTGACCTTGACTGTGACCTATATGCTAAAAATAGTTTTTTTATTGAATATTCGCCATAATTTAAAAACCATGAGAAAAAATAGAGACTTATATATTTTAAGTATGCATACTCAACTAATTTAGGTCTTTAATTAAAATGACACCAATGTCTTTGACAAGTAAACTTGGCTGGGACCCATATGTTTAAAATAGATTTTTTGAACCTTTGACATACTTTTGATCCCTGAAAGAAGCAACCTCATATTTGGTATGCATTCTCCACTAATTATGCTCTTTCAAATGACACCAAGGTCAATGACCATGTGACCTCTACTGTGATCTATATGCTAAAAATAGCTTTTTTAAACCTCCACCAAAAATTTTGAACCATAAGAGATAGAGACTTCATATTTAGTATGCATATTCCACCAATTAAGTTCTTTCAAATGACACCAAGATCAATGACCTTAATTGTGACCTTGACTGTGATCTATATGCTAAAAATGGTTTTTCAAACTTGTTGCCGCTTGGGGCATAGTGTTTCAGAAACACATCTTTTTCAACAAATTTTTTCTATCTTTTCAAAGAATAGTACCAAATCCCCGGATGAGCACATGGCGTTGTTTGTGGCACAATGTAGAGTCGAGTACTGAATAGGTCGGCATTACCTGATTGGCTGAAATGAGGTATGTAATGTTTTTCATTTTAAAGTAAAAATATTAATATTTGAAATAAATGATGGAATGTAGGAATATTACAGAGAATATAGAAATACCAGGGGAGATTGTAGGAGTGGGGGTTGATTTTTTTTGCAGAGCGTTATTTACTGCCGATACCTATAAGTTTTAAAGAACTGCAATTTTGACCTATAAACGCCATGGGACCCTATATTTTTTCCGGGATTTTTTATAAGCGCTTGGATTAAAGTTTCAAACGATGCCAAGGAATTATCTGAAATTAAATTAGTATAGTAGTGAGAGGACAAAATGTTTGTATAGAGTTCTATGGGAAAATAATTGGTACTCTTTTCCCTATAGAGACCCAAATTTTTAAAATGTTAAGTGAATTTAAAGTCATGAAAAGTGATTTTTTGCTCTTAATCCGAATATTGATGACACACTGAGAGGTAAATAGCAAAAAAAATGGAATTGTTTTTCATGTGTTGAGATTTTGGAGGAATTCTGTTCTCGGTAAGGGGGGGGGGGGGGGGGGGGGTAGTGAGTAGAATGTAGATATTAGTATAGCGTGGTGCATTTGATATTGTCCGAGGAGGGGAGTAAGTTAATAAAGTGCATCAGATTGCTCTTATGATGAATATTTATGTGTAAGTAAGTTTGTATAAATATATGCATGTACATTAATATTATATGTATTTACATGTGTGTATTTATGTGTTGTGTTCTATATATATGTACATGTATGGCATTGTAGGGGCTGTGACCTGGTGTTCATTTCATTTCATTTCTTTAACGGTTGCATACGGTATCTTTTCAAATAGTTCTGGTGAACCTAAAAAGGGCATTCTATAGTGGTCATGTCAAAGTTGCACACTTTTCTCTCTTGACATCTTATGGCTGGTAGTGCGTGTGATTCTCTGGATTGCTTTACTTGGACTGCAGGGTACTGAATTTGTAGTGAAGTTGTTTCTTTGGTGTAGCTACACTTAGGTCTGTATTTTTCCTTTCTTGCTGCTTGTTTTTTCATCAGCGTAGCCCTCGGCAACTCATTTTTTACTGCTTTCCAGTTTTTGTAATTAGAGTTACTTCCCTTAGACTTACAAACCAGGCATGTAGAATTTCAACATCATAAAATCTTTATTGTAGAGAACCTAGACTTCTGATTTTTTCCAGGAATTATTGGAATGACTTAAAAATGCATGTATAAGATTAGGCCTTTTTGTATTTACATGTAATTACATGTAATATTGTGTAACATGTACCCCACCCTTTGGGGGTACATTTTTAAAACAATAAACAATGTAGAAGGTGTGTAATTTTTTTATTTTCTAGAAAACCTGAAAAATATTGCTGTTAAATAAATGCTTAAGATGTGATTTGACTAATTTTTCTGATTTATTTTGTTTTTAGCACTGTAGAGGACTTTCATCTTTCAGCTTCCTCGGCCCCGGGAGAGTTGGGTACCTGCTCAGCGGGGGCATTTTCTCTATACAAGAAGAAGACGGAGACTCGCTACCCACCCGATATATTTTGTCGGACAGTTTTCTGTACATAGCAGGTAAATTTTCCACTTTTTAACTTTCCAGCCTCTTATTATGTTGTGCATTTTGGGGTTTAAAGTCAAAATTATTGCATTTCTTATTTTTGAAAAATTGATCTAAATTCCCCTTTTCTATGCATAAAACTCCATCCTGTAGATTAAGATTGTACTGTATAAGACTGTAGATACTGAACTTTCATTTATTATCAAAAGGATTGATTTTCTCTCATTTAAATTTATTGTAAACAAATATAATAGGGGGCACCTGCTATTTCTCTAAGTGTCTTTCACTGGGGGGTGGTGATACTTTTTTGCACATACTTAAGCAACATGAGGGGTTAGATAAGAATCAATTAGTATATCAGAGTCTCAAATAATTTACTTTTCATAAGCATAAAAAAAATTCTGAATTAGTCTTTTTAAAGCCTTTCAATTTTGCTTAATTAGCTATATTTTATCAAATTTTGGAGCCTTTTTTAAATTCTGGGTAGAATCCACCCTTATGAAAAAAATGACACAAATGTGACTTTATATCATTTTATTGACAATAAAAAACAAAATCATGCAATTTATAAATGTTTTATTCATTACAGTCACAACTGTATCCAGGTCACATCAAAGGAATGACAGTTTCTCACTCCCTGGAATTCTACTTAATGGAGGGAGGTGTCATTAATTAAGATTGTCACAGCTTCCAAGACACTGAAGTGACAGGCCTAAAATTTTATACATATTCATTGGTAAGTATAAAGTCTTTGAAAATTACAAAATTGACTAATTCTGGGAGAGGTAAATATGTAAGTATAGGAATGAGAGTACCAAATCCCCGGATGAGCACATGGCGTTGTTTGTGGCACAATGTAGAGTCGAGTACTGAATAGGTCGGCATTACCTGATTGGCTGAAATGAGGTATGTAATGTTTTTCATTTTAAAGTAAAAATATTAATATTTGAAATAAATGATGGAATGTAGGAATATTACAGAGAATATAGAAATACCAGGGGAGATTGTAGGAGTGGGGGTTGATTTTTTTTGCAGAGCGTTATTTACTGCCGATACCTATAAGTTTTAAAGAACTGCAATTTTGACCTATAAACGCCATGGGACCATAAATTTTTTCCGGGATTTTTTATAAGCGCTTGGATTAAAGTTTCAAACGATGCCAAGGAATTATCTGAAATTAAATTAGTATAGTAGTGAGAGGACAAAATGTTTGTATAGAGTTCTATGGGAAAATAATTGGTACTCTTTTCCCTATAGAGACCCAAATTTTTAAAATGTTAAGTGAATTTAAAGTCATGAAAAGTGATTTTTTGCTCTTAATCCGAATATTGATGACACACTGAGAGGTAAATAGCAAAAAAAATGGAATTGTTTTTCATGTGTTGAGATTTTGGAGGAATTCTGTTCTCGGTAAGGGGGGGGGGGGGGGGGGTAGTGAGTAGAATGTAGATATTAGTATAGCGTGGTGCATTTGATATTGTCCGAGGAGGGGAGTAAGTTAATAAAGTGCATCAGATTGCTCTTATGATGAATATTTATGTGTAAGTAAGTTTGTATAAATATATGCATGTACATTAATATTATATGTATTTACATGTGTGTATTTATGTGTTGTGTTCTATATATATGTACATGTATGGCATTGTAGGGGCTGTGACCTGGTGTTCATTTCATTTCATTTCTTTAACGGTTGCATACGGTATCTTTTCAAATAGTTCTGGTGAACCTAAAAAGGGCATTCTATAGTGGTCATGTCAAAGTTGCACACTTTTCTCTCTTGACATCTTATGGCTGGTAGTGCGTGTGATTCTCTGGATTGCTTTACTTGGACTGCAGGGTACTGAATTTGTAGTGAAGTTGTTTCTTTGGTGTAGCTACACTTAGGTCTGTATTTTTCCTTTCTTGCTGCTTGTTTTTTTCATCAGCGTAGCCCTCGGCAACTCATTTTTTACTGCTTTCCAGTTTTTGTAATTAGAGTTACTTCCCTTAGACTTACAAACCAGGCATGTAGAATTTCAACATCATAAAATCTTTATTGTAGAGAACCTAGACTTCTGATTTTTTCCAGGAATTATTGGAATGACTTAAAAATGCATGTATAAGATTAGGCCTTTTTGTATTTACATGTAATTACATGTACATGTAATATTGTGTAACATGTACCCCACCCTTTGGGGGTACATTTTTAAAACAATAAACAATGTAGAAGGTGTGTAATTTTTTTATTTTCTAGAAAACCTGAAAAATATTGCTGTTAAATAAATGCTTAAGATGTGATTTGACTAATTTTTCTGATTTATTTTGTTTTTAGCACTGTAGAGGACTTTCATCTTTCAGCTTCCTCGGCCCCGGGAGAGTTGGGTACCTGCTCAGCGGGGGCATTTTCTCTATACAAGAAGAAGACGGAGACTCGCTACCCACCCGATATATTTTGTCGGACAGTTTTCTGTACATAGCAGGTAAATTTTCCACTTTTTAACTTTCCAGCCTCTTATTATGTTGTGCATTTTGGGGTTTAAAGTCAAAATTATTGCATTTCTTATTTTTGAAAAATTGATCTAAATTCCCCTTTTCTATGCATAAAACTCCATCCTGTAGATTAAGATTGTACTGTATTCTGTAGATACTGAACTTTCATTTATTGTCAAAAGGATTGATTTTCTCTCATTTAAATTTATTGTAAACAAATATAATAGGGGGCACCTGCTATTTCTCTAAGTGTCTTTCACTGGGGGGTGGTGATACTTTTTTGCACATACTTAAGCAACATGAGGGGTTAGATAAGAATCAATTAGTATATCAGAGTCTCAAATAATTTACTTTTCATAAGCATAAAAAAAATTCTGAATTAGTCTTTTTAAAGCCTTTCAATTTTGCTTAATTAGCTATATTTTATCAAATTTTGGAGCCTTTTTTAAATTCTGGGTAGAATCCACCCTTATGAAAAAAATGACACAAATGTGACTTTATATCATTTTATTGACAATAAAAAACAAAATCATGCAATTTATAAATGTTTTATTCATTACAGTCACAACTGTATCCAGGTCACATCAAAGGAATGACAGTTTCTCACTCCCTGGAATTCTACTTAATGGAGGGAGGTGTCATTAATTAAGATTGTCACAGCTTCCAAGACACTGAAGTGACAGGCCTAAAATTTTATACATATTCATTGGTAAGTATAAAGTCTTTGAAAATTACAAAATTGACAAATTCTGGGAGAGGTAAATATGTAAGTATAGGAATGAGAGTACCAAATCCCCGGATGAGCACATGGCGTTGTTTGTGGCACAATGTAGAGTCGAGTACTGAATAGGTCGGCATTACCTGATTGGCTGAAATGAGGTATGTAATGTTTTTCATTTTAAAGTAAAAATATTAATATTTGAAATAAATGATGGAATGTAGGAATATTACAGAGAATATAGAAATACCAGGGGAGATTGTAGGAGTGGGGGTTGATTTTTTTTGCAGAGCGTTATTTACTGCCGAAACCTATAAGTTTTAAAGAACTGCAATTTTGACCTATAAACGCCATGGGACCCTATATTTTTTCCGGGATTTTTTATAAGCGCTTGGATTAAAGTTTCAAACGATGCCAAGGAATTATCTGAAATTAAATTAGTATAGTAGTGAGAGGACAAAATGTTTGTATAGAGTTCTATGGGAAAATAATTGGTACTCTTTTCCCTATAGAGACCCAAATTTTTAAAATGTTAAGTGAATTTAAAGTCATGAAAAGTGATTTTTTGCTCTTAATCCGAATATTGATGACACACTGAGAGGTAAATAGCAAAAAAAATGGAATTGTTTTTCATGTGTTGAGATTTTGGAGGAATTCTGTTCTCGGTAAGGGGGGGGGGGGGGGGGTAGTGAGTAGAATGTAGATATTAATATAGCGTGGTGCATTTGATATTATCCGAGGAGGGAGTAAGTTAATAAAGTGCATCAGATTGCTCTTATGATGAATATTTATGTGTAAGTAAGTTTGTATAAATATATGCATGTACATTAATATTATATGTATTTACATGTGTGTATTTATGTGTTGTGTTCTATATATATGTACATGTATGGCATTGTAGGGGCTGTGACCTGGTGTTCATTTCATTTCATTTCTTTAACGGTTGCATACGGTATCTTTTCAAATAGTTCTGGTGAACCTAAAAAGGGCATTCTATAGTGGTCATGTCAAAGTTGCACACTTTTCTCTCTTGACATCTCATGGCTGGTAGTGCGTGTGATTCTCTGGATTGCTTTACTTGGACTGCAGGGTACTGAATTTGTAGTGAAGTTGTTTCTTTGGTGTAGCTACACTTAGGTCTGTATTTTTCCTTTCTTGCTGCTTGTTTTTTTCATCAGCGTAGCCCTCGGCAACTCATTTTTTACTGCTTTCCAGTTTTTGTAATTAGAGTTACTTCCCTTAGACTTACAAACCAGGCATGTAGAATTTCAACATCATAAAATCTTTATTGTAGAGAACCTAGACTTCTGATTTTTTCCAGGAATTATTGGAATGACTTAAAAATGCATGTATAAGATTAGGCCTTTTTGTATTTACATGTAATTACATGTAATATTGTGTAACATGTACCCCACCCTTTGGGGGTACATTTTTAAAACAATAAACAATGTAGAAGGTGTGTAATTTTTTTATTTTCTAGAAAACCTGAAAAATATTGCTGTTAAATAAATGCTTAAGATGTGATTTGACTAATTTTTCTGATTTATTTTGTTTTTAGCACTGTAGAGGACTTTCATCTTTCAGCTTCCTCGGCCCCGGGAGAGTTGGGTACCTGCTCAGCGGGGGCATTTTCTCTATACAAGAAGAAGACGGAGACTCGCTACCCACCCGATATATTTTGTCGGACAGTTTTCTGTACATAGCAGGTAAATTTTCCACTTTTTAACTTTCCAGCCTCTTATTATGTTGTGCATTTTGGGGTTTAAAGTCAAAATTATTGCATTTCTTATTTTTGAAAAATTGATCTAAATTCCCCTTTTCTATGCATAAAACTCCATCCTGTAGATTAAGATTGTACTGTATAAGACTGTAGATACTGAACTTTCATTTATTATCAAAAGGATTGATTTTCTCTCATCTTTATTGTAAACAAATATAATAGGGGGCACCTGCTATTTCTCTAAGTGTCTTTCACTGGGGGGTGGTGATACTTTTTTGCACATACTTAAGCAACATGAGGGGTTAGATAAGAATCAATTAGTATATCAGAGTCTCAAATAATTTACTTTTCATAAGCATAAAAAAAATTCTGAATTAGTCTTTTTAAAGCCTTTCAATTTTGCTTAATTAGCTATATTTTATCAAATTTTGGAGCCTTTTTTAAATTCTGGGTAGAATCCACCCTTATGAAAAAAATGACACAAATGTGACTTTATATCATTTTATTGACAATAAAAAACAAAATCATGCAATTTATAAATGTTTTATTCATTACAGTCACAACTGTATCCAGGTCACATCAAAGGAATGACAGTTTCTCACTCCCTGGAATTCTACTTAATGGAGGGAGGTGTCATTAATTAAGATTGTCACAGCTTCCAAGACACTGAAGTGACAGGCCTAAAATTTTATACATATTCATTGGTAAGTATAAAGTCTTTGAAAATTACAAAATTGACTAATTCTGGGAGAGGTAAATATGTAAGTATAGGAATGAGAGTACCAAATCCCCGGATGAGCACATGGCGTTGTTTGTGGCACAATGTAGAGTCGAGTACTGAATAGGTCGGCATTACCTGATTGGCTGAAATGAGGTATGTAATGTTTTTCATTTTAAAGTAAAAATATTAATATTTGAAATAAATGATGGAATGTAGGAATATTACAGAGAATATAGAAATACCAGGGGAGATTGTAGGAGTGGGGGTTGATTTTTTTTGCAGAGCGTTATTTACTGCCGATACCTATAAGTTTTAAAGAACTGCAATTTTGACCTATAAACGCCATGGGACCCTATATTTTTTCCGGGATTTTTTATAAGCGCTTGGATTAAAGTTTCAAACGATGCCAAGGAATTATCTGAAATTAAATTAGTATAGTAGTGAGAGGACAAAATGTTTGTATAGAGTTCTATGGGAAAATAATTGGTACTCCGGAACTCTCTTTATGAGAATTTTCTCAAATCCAAAATTCTCAGACTCAACGGCCATCATAAAAAGTTGAGAAAAATAAAAATTCCTTAAACTCTGTTTTATTCTCAAATTCTCAGGTGGGTTATTCTCAAGACGAGAGTTGAGAATTTTTTTGAGAATTCTCAAGGTTTAATGACGGCGGACCCTGGTCAGGTGGATCTACTCTAGTTATTTGTGTGTGTACTGAGCAGCTGAGCTATCGATGCTATGTACATGTAATGTACACTTGTTCAATGATGCTTATGTTGCAGCTGTGTAGCATGTATTATATTTAATTTCTATTAAAATTTTGTGTTTTATTGACATATTATTGAATAATTAAGATTTATATCTGTAAATTATAACTACACAAAAATCATTGTATAACTATTTGACATAGAAAAATTGGATAATTCATCCAGTGCATGCAAGTTAGTTAGACATATTGCAAATATTATAGTGTAGAGTTCTAAAGGTATCCAGCAAGAAGCTTAAGGCTAAGACTTTTTCTATTTTATAACTATTTTCATTCATAACATGCATAATTATATACATGGACACTGAACTCTTCATGTAATTTTGACCTTAGGCAATACCATTGACAAATGGCCAAGCTTTTTTTCTTGTGGGTGCAAAGCACTGTTGTTTCAAGGTGTTTTTAAATTGTAACAGCAAATTTTGTTCTTGTGCCATGTTTTTGATTCCCTTGCTAACACATGGTTCATGTACATGTGCAAACTAAAAATTGGATGCAATTTAATTTTGATATATTTTTATATAGATCTAGGCCAAAACATGTGAAACTAAACAATTTTCATTTATTTTTTTATAGAAATTAATGATAAACAAGTAGTCAATTTAAAGATAAAACTGTTTGATAAACTTGTTCATTTTAATTGAATGAACATTGATTTTGCTGAACATATTATTCATCTTTGTTTTACAGGTTATGTAGTTCTTCATCCTCCAAACAATTTAAGCACTTTTTACATTGGAGATGGGGATGTTTATTTCTATTGGAACCCTCCCCAGAATTATCCCACCCACCAGCCAGAAAACCTTACAAGTAATCAGGTGTACAACATCCGCAACAAAGACAACATTCACTTCTCTGATTCAGGTTCATGGATCGAAAAAGGAAGTGAAACAGAAAGGGAGCAAGATTGGATTTTTAAACTGTTTTCTTTTTCTGGGATTTCTGCTGAAGATCATGAAAGTGAATTAAAAAGCTCACAGAAAGTAATGAAGACAAATCAATCACTCACTGACCATATTGATCAAGCAAATTTAACTACTGAGCAGGTGGAAAAATACAAGCAATATCTAAAGAGCAAAAATATATCACATATTCCCGACTGGTTCCAGAAAACTACAGTTCCCAAGGAGCATGCTGGGATATTATGGTATACCATTTTTTGGCAAGAAATGGATAATGGAACAGAAATCGGTGAGGAAATTTAAAGCTACCTATTAGAACCATACATGATAAACTTGCATTATTGTTTTACTTTAAACTATATACATATTAACTTAATTGCAAAATTTATATACAGAAAATTTAGTAATATTTTCCAGGTTAAAATGGTAAAATGTTTGAATTATTTCCATTCCAAAATATCAATCTGACACTGACAAATTTTAAAATATTAGCTGTTGACTTGCATGAAAGCTGATAATTGTGAAGATTAGTATTTAAAAAAACAATAAACAGAAGGTGAAGATAAAAGCCCTATTCTGTTAAAGAAGTGAGCTAAAATGCTAATGCAATCTGATATTTATTTTTATGCCCCCCTTCGAAGAAGGGAGGGCATATTGCTTTGCTGCTGTCTGTTGGTCGGTCGGTAGGTCTGTCGGTCCATTTAGTTTCCGTTCATTTTCTTCATAACCGCTGCACATACTGAAATGAAATTTGGTATACAGGTATATCAGATGAATATCTAGGTCAAGTTCTGTTTTGGGTATGATAGCACCATTTTTAGCTCACCTGAGCCGAAGGCTCAAGTGAGCTTTTCTGATCACATTTTGTCTGGCCGTCTGTTTGTCTGTCCGTCTGTCTGTAAACTTTTCACATTTTCGACTTCTTCTCAAGAACCGCTGAGCCAATTTCAACCAAACTTGCCACAAAGCATCCTTGGGTGAAGGGGATTCAAGTTTGTTCAATTCTTTAAAAATCATTTTCTCAAGAATAAAAAAGCCATAATTGATCATATTTATATGGAAGCATCCTCAGGTAGTATAGATTCAAATTTGTTCAAAACATGACCCCCGGGGGTAGGGCGGGGCCACAATGGCTGACCAAAGTTTTTACATAGAAATATATAGGAAAATTCTTTAAAAATCATTTTCTCAAGAATAGCAAAACCTTAACTGGTCAAAGGTTTACTTTAGGATTTAAACTTTTCAATAATAAACCAATTTCTAATTTTTTCCTAGCCACAGTGCTCAGGTGAGCAATGTGGCCCATGGGCCTCTTGTTGAAATTTTGACAGAGTTATGCCCCTTGGACTTAGAAAAATTCCAACTATTTGCA